ATGAAAGAGATCCTTATATCATTCTCTATCCCACCTCAGCTGTGGAAAGAGCTTGTGTTTCAAAGGGATGAAATAAAGACAATGATCAGATAAGATGAATATGGCCTTTAGGGAGACTCTTTTTCTGGGCATTCCTTATTGTTGTAGTTCACTGAGAGAGCACTCAGTGCACAGATGATAGCTTATCTATTGCACTGAGAAAACTCTTGGGAAACCTATTGGTGCTGCTTTCCCTTCCTGTCTTTTTAATCACTTCTAATATCTCAAATTCAGAAAGAAATCAGAACAACCTGTGACCCTGTGGCTGCACACAATTCTTGTGCAATATAGTGTCTTAGCTGGTTCCCTTGACCTACAGGTGGGAACTTACACTGGGTCAGCACTGTTCTGACTCCTAAAAATACTTTTATTTCATGCCTCTGTCTAAAGTAAAGGTTTTAGTTTTTACTATGCATTTAAACATCTTACTCTTCAAATTTCTGAAACCTACATCTATTTCACTAGCAAATGTCTTGCCTCATTTTTTGGAAAGCAAGTGCTTAGAAAGAAAACACGTCTTTCAGACATGTCTTTGAGAAATGGGACAGACACATGAAATGTTTGGTGTTGTTTTGACTTCTGTTGCTACTGAAAAGACATCAGCTAGGGAGATTGAGAAATATCACCGCAGGATACTACCTTAGAGGATGCACTGACTGGGATTTTACAGTATACAGGCATTTTCTGTCAGATATACTGTACACAAGGGCATTGCCAAATAACAACAGAGAGTATTCATGGTATTTTGAGAAACTGCCAAAGAAAACAAGTCTGCAGATTGCCCTTTATTTGATGTTATGCTGACATTTCTCACATCAACAGAGTTTCTGGAACTGAACATTTAAGGATAAACATCTAAGAATGGATTCTGGGCCAGGGTTTCTTTTTGCCTTTCTATTCAAACCTTGGTTATGGTTTTATATCTTTGGTTATTTACCCATAATGCAAATTAATGTTAAAATTAAAAGCCATAGTAGTCAAAAGAGCATTGTATTCAGTCTTCCAATGCACCAAAAAGTACTTTTGCTACTTGGAATTACATAGAAGATATAAATTTGGATTAAAATCATGTCTTGAACCACCTCACTTAATAGTTGACAAGTGTAGCTACACATAGGAAGAAAATAATAAAATCTACTCAGAAGACTTCCTGCTTGTTAATCTATTATAATAGTAGTATAAAAGCAGAAAGAGGACTAACAGCTCAAAAAGATAAGGGAGACTTGAAAAGGCCAATATTTATACAGGTGTCAACAATAAGGAACCCTAAAACTCTGCACCCAGAACCCTGTTTTACAGTTTTGGATGCAAGACAGGTAATAGCAAAATGTAAGTCACAAGAAGTGCATGATCCAGGAATCCTGGGGACTTTCTTAATCTTTCATTTGTATACTGCCAGAAAAAATAAAAAGAAAACAAGTGCTTGGCGTAGCAGGAAGGCAAAGGGAGTGGAGACAGCAGAGGGATCCCTGCTTGTCAGACTTTTCTTTGCCAGGTTAAACAAGCCCAGCTCCTACAATCACCAGGTTCACGAGCCCTTGGATCACCTTAGATGGACTTCTTTTATAAGCCTCTCTGTACAACCAGCACTGGGGCATTGAACAGACTACTGCAAGACCACAACAAAAATAATAGTGAAGGGTGGTACTCTTCACATTCTTTCTCTCATTCCATTTGTGCCTATATTTGCACAGAGATCTCAGCAGTGATGAATTTTCACAATATTTAGCCTTCATAAATCAATAACACTGTTCAGGTATTTTTGCAGTTCTGCTATCCATGTTATCCAAGATGCAAAGAACTTATTCTCTGAGCAATTGTTTGTAGGCTAAAGACTGTCTTCAATCAGTTCCTCTCTGCAATCACAGAACCACAGAATGGGTAAGGTTGGCAGGAACCACAGTGGATCATCTGGTCCAACCTTCCTGCGCTAGCAGGACCATCCTAGAGCAAATTGCATAGGATTATGTCCAGACAGTTCTTGAATACCTCCAGTGAAGAAAACTCCACAAACTCTCTAGACAATCTCTTCCAATGTGAGTCACCTGTGCAGAAGTTCTTTCTCATATTCAGGTAGAACTTCCTGTGCATCACTTTCGGCCTGTTGCCTCCTGTCCTGTTACTTGGCACCACCAAGAAGAGCTTGGCTCCATCCTCCTAACATCCTCCCTTGAGACACTTACATAGATTGATGTGGTTCCCCCCTGAGTCATCTCTTCTCGAGGCTGAACCCACCCAACTTCCTCAGCCTATCAAATGTTACATACTAATTTCAAACAAGCAGCAACCCTTTCCCACCTGCTTGTTTGTATCCACAGTTTTTGCCAAAATGAGAGGAAATGTATATGCAATTAAAATTAAGCTTTCAAACAATTACCTTCTTTAAGACTACCAGACTATGTAAACTGCTCGGTTGTATATGAGATATTCAGGAACTGAAGTTTGTTTGGATTTGCATTGAACCTGTATTTCTCCAGGATTTCCTTGGCTCGGCTTAGCAACAGCTTTTCCAGAAGTATCAGCAGCAGCCCTACCACTCCCTGAGTCATTCCCCTGAGAATTCCTGGAAATAAGTTGTTCTTCCTTGTTGGCTCCCACCAGTAAACACTCATTTATAAGGTCTCCAAACTCTCAAGTATTTTCTTCATACTTCAGATGAGTCAGTGAAAGTCTGTTTTACTTCAAAACACACTTTGAGAAGTTTGACTCTGTCAAATATTGTGGTAGAGGCGAAAGGAGTGCTAAGCAGGTTTGGGATTATGGGGATTTTTTAATAAAATATAAATGCTTATCAGCATTTTATCACACAACCTGGAGATTGTATCCATCCTGCAGATCTGTAAGCAGAATTTTGTCATTAAAAATGTATTGACTTTGTCATTAAAAATGTATTGACTACCAATAGGCTTAGGTTTTATTGAATGTTTAAATATATCAGGCCCCTAGATAATCAAATTGTGGCATCTTTATTAAGCCTGGTATTAATAAAGAGCACAAAAAGTACAAGGCATAGTTGACAGGCATTGGGAGCATTTTGTGAAGAAATTAAAACTAATTTAAAATATATTCTTTAAATAAGGGAACACTTTCTGGAGGTCTAAGATATGGGCATCTACTTATGCTTGCCCTAGAGACACAATTAATGCCAGAAAAAGACAGATGGGAGATCCATGCAAGTTGTGATTATTTTTAAATACAATTCAGATAAACTTTTCAATCGCTTCTCCAAATTTCTACCAAGTTTTTTTTTCCTGCCAGACACATCATTTTTATTGCACATGAAGCAGCAGGACATGTTTTTAATACTTAGCTCTCTGCAATTAGAAGAAAGCATAAAGAATCAATGGCTTTGATTCTCCCTTAAACATTCCTCAGTTCAACACAGAATTTTTCTGGTGCAGTCTAAAAGGCATACAGCTGTAATCAGGATCACTCTTGAAATGCCATTTGTTTGCATTTCATTTCACTGATAACCAGTCAGGCAGTCTACAGAGTTGCACAATTTCCATTTGCAGACACAAAAATTTGCTACACAGCTTCCAGTGTGGAGTAAAATCCAATGATCAGGAAATCAGCCTGCATGTCTAATTTCACTTCTGTGGCATGTCTTAAGAAACAGAATTCCAGCTTTCCCAATGAAGTCAAAAGGCTTTGCTCCAGGTTCTACCATGAAAGCCATTTCTACTTCTAAAACAGACTTTGGTTAAGATACCATGGATAGGAAGGATCACCACCAGTCCACTCTCTCCTCAGTCAGCAAGTAATTCTTCTGGCCCACTGCTGTTCTTTTCCAAATCATTCTTGTCAGCCTCTCTAGGTAAAGCTACATCACAGCCAGCACTGTGATCAAAGCTTGTGGGAATACAGATGACCTCCTGATCAGGGAGTAGCCAGCTCATGTATGGTCCCAGCAGGATGGAGCTCGGCAAATACCACAGACCCACTTCATCAGGCAAGATATTTTGCTAATATTGAACTCATTGCTGCTTTGGTACTCTCTGCAGTTCAAGTAGTTCCTCAGGTGGAGAGTCTCTCTCTCTCTCTGCAGAAGTCATCCACCAGAAATCCCCAAAGAGACAGCAACTGATGCTCAGAGTCTATCTCATTTTCTTCGCCGAATTCCTTCCAGACTGAATTTGTTAAAAATCCTATTCATACCTCAGACAGAGGAAACATCTCCAGGTTTCTCCCACCCACCTCTAGACACCACAGCCAAATATGCAGCCCATTTTAGGCCTATTCCCATTCTAATTGATTTTTGGTACCTGCAATATTCAAATGATGGAGTGAATAACATATACAATACACACATATCAGTTCCACAATACCTTTCAAAAATGAATAGACACATATAAATTTTCAGTAGTTTTATTGAAAAATGCCTCTTTCATTTCAGAAATAAATAATATAAGGCAGTGAAATTCACAATTTGCAGTTAAAATATAAAAGCAGCAATTCTATATCCATAGTCTTGCAAACAATTTCCAACTGCTTTTGATAACTAAGAAACATTGTATTCTGGAAAAAAAAATCCATTACTAAATATACAACATAAACATGCAATTCCATCTCTGCAGGATTGACTGCAATTTGGCATAAATGTCGCTGTGTCTACAAACGAGGAGATTTCAGGCATTATTAAACTGTATCCAATTGATACAATGATTTCAGCTACTTAACGTTTGTGGTGTTTAGAGGAGATGTATAAGAGCAGTATATGCTCTGCAGATTGTAACTCAGAATAGAAGAAAATGACAATGATATTGGAAGGAGAGGGAAATTTTTGTTTCTTTTTTAACTAGATAACGCAGACCTGTGATCTGACTGAACTGAAAACATGCATTTGAAAAAGAAGAAAAATGTAGAGCTAAAGCAGACAGTACTTAGAAAATTTGCAGCAGCTCTGTGGTTATTTTTGTTTTGGTTTTTTGGTTTTCTTTTTTTTTCTTTATTTGTTTTTTACATTATTTTAATGAAAAGACAGCACTGGGATAACTGAATGCACACATTAACCTGTATGCAGCCACTATAAGCAAAAGTATTTTACAAGCATTTCCAGAGCAACATGAAGTCTCTAGGTACATACATTGCTATCCCCACATAAGCGAGATACAAACCAGGGGTGAGTCTAATATGAAAAGACCAGAATGCTATATTGCAAAAGGAATGATGCACCCTCCCTGTGTGTATCTGCAAATGCAAGTACAGCAAAGAAACCCAAAAAACCACCAACCAAAAAAACCAAAACAAGACACAGATCTTTTACGGTTTTGTTTTTGCTTTTCTTGACAGTGATCTTTTCCAGCGCATGTGCTCAGGGTATTCTGGTGAATGCATTTCAACTCCATAGTCCTCATACTCGTCCTCTCTCCTTTCTGACTCCATAGGTACTATAAAGGGTTCACCTTCAGGCTGATAGGGTCCACTTTCAGGCACGTATGGTTCTGGTTGAAAATAGTTGTCCGATTGAACATAATAGTTATCGCATGGCTTTGAATCCACAAATGCAATGAAAGTTAGTTTGTCTATATAATGTTAGTTCAGTCTTATTTTCATATAATAAATACATAAATTAGTAGTTCACTGGGGGTATTTTTCAGTTTCATTCACGAATGCTTTTTGGCAGTAAAATAATAAAAGGTTTAAAATTCATCTTGAAAGGCTTTGTATTTATAATACACAAAACATTGCGGAAAGTCTTAAATTATGCAAGGGACAGATTATGGTAAAACTATTTTTAAAACAAAAACAAAGCAAATCAAATCAAATTATTATTTTACAGCTACTTCCTTAAATCCAAGCACTGGACTTTATTTTAAACTGCATAATTAGTAGAAGACATGGAGCAGGTAAAATTAAGGGGTGGGTTTGGCATATACTAATTTTCTCTGAGAATGGGAAAGTAAGGGTAGACATAGCTATCACCAGCGGCAATATACAGTACATGTCATTTTCTCGTGCTGTTCCTCGTAACAGACCGAGTTACAGCTGGTGCTTCAGGAACACCAAAAACTACAGCAAAACAGAAGAAAAATAATTATAAAACTTTGGTATTTATAACTGTAGTTACAGATCCAACAAGATTACACATAAGAAAAGGCACGTGCCCCGATTGAGACATGTTGGTAACAGGCAACAGACAGGTAGGTTTCATAGGTCGTCAAAGATGTTATTCTGGCATACAGCAAGCAGCAGCAGGCTTTTATGCAAAAGCATCACATAGAGTTGTTAACAGATTTTAGTGGATACAGTCCCATACAAATCATTTACAAGCCACAATTAGTTTACTATTTACATAAGTCATTTCTCATTTTCCAGGTTAAATCTCTCTCTTCTAATGGCATTACCTTTGCTGGTTAGTAGTTTTACAAGCCTCCTTCGCCACCGAGGCTTTTGATGGTCTAGGTCTTTTTTTAAGAAAGAAAGACTGTCTATTTTATTATTGAAATGCAACAGGCGTAATGAATTGACATCACTGTCCTTTATCTCATTCACGAGTTGTGTTAGTAAAAAGTATCTCCCCGTTCTATGAGGTCAACATGGTTCAAAAACCATATCCGTGGTGAAATATCCATACGGACTCATTTTCTAATAAGCACGTGCGCAAACATCTCAGAAACAGGATTTTCATGTATTCAAACTGTAAGCAGCACTGGCGACTTAGAAAATGTGTTAGCCGAAACCTGAAACAGGTCAAAGATGATGTTAGTCTTTTAAAAAGTCCATCTGATGTGCAAAAACATACTTTCATCCAACTAAATACATAACAGTTAAGTCATAGGCATATATTTATATATGTATACATAGCTGCTTACTAGAAAGGAGAACACTGCTGAATCACAGGTACAAATCTCTTTATTTTTCACTTAAATAAGAATTTTGTGTGAGATCTGTAGAACCACCTGGCTCTTTAACCAGCATCACTGAGTCTGCAAGTGTGTACATATATATATATATATATATCTTTCTTTTCTTTTTTTTTCTTTTCATGGGTACATGCACAATACTCTAACAGCAAACCATATCCAATAGTAGTATCACATACACTAATTTTGAGATCTTGCAAGGCATACATATTAATTTGTTAACAATACTGTGGTCCTGCAGGATCCCCATGCTAAAATATATTAGAATCTTTCCAGTTAGAAATTGGTGGCCGCTGTGACCCTTCATTTTGATTCCAGAAGCAGCCTATTGTTTTGAGCTACATCACAGAGTGGAAGGCTTATATGACCCAGGGCTAATCAGAGACTCCATGGTGTTCAACTTGGTAGAAATTGTAGGACAGTGGTGCTTTTCAGTTGTCTGCACTGTTATCACCAAATGGATTTCCTTTGTGGAAAATTTTTACTTTGGGTATCAATTTTGCATATTTTTTGTATAATCCTGACATCACTTAAAAAGGGACACATGGAAACTGCCAACCACAGCATTCCTTTTATTTTTTCAACATAAATATGGAGAATTCAACCTTGTTCTGAAGACGATTGGAAGGGATGGGGATAAAGAGGGGGGGAAAAAAAGAGAAGAAAATGGTCACTTTAATCCTATGAGCAACATTATCAACTAGAAACCATCTATGTTTTTTAAAAAAACCAACCAACTAAAATATTTAGTTACTACTTCCTATTTAAAGCAAACCACACAAAACATCAAGTAAACATACATCAAAGTCCAAATGGCTCCTCATATATCTGTACCTTACAATGAGGCAGACCTGCTCACTGCAACCATTTCCTCCTGACTCAGTATGTTCAGGCTAGCAGGACTGTCTCATGTAAAGCATTTCAGTATGAACAGCCACATCTGTGAAGGCTATTTAAGGCAAGGTTAAGGTTGAGTTATTCATAACCTACCTGGGAATCCTTGGCCATTATAAGGGATGCTAGCACACTGGGATGAATCACAATATCCTGGTGGCCCTGGGGGACCTCGAATACCAGCATTTCCAGGACGACCTGGTGGCCCTGGTGGTCCTCGTGATCCTGTGGAGCCTGGTGGACCAGTTCTAGATTCTCCTTGTGGACCTAATTTTAGAATTGAGAGGTTGGGAGGTTGTTTTCTTTAAGAGCTACCTTGATAAAACAGCTAATTTTACTGCTGTCTAGACTACACAGCCAAGGCTATGTCATTGGTGAGAAAGCACTTGCACTTTTGTTGCTATATGGGGGTCAACAGAAAGAAAAACAAAAGAAAACTAGAAATGTGACTCATCATTAGTTGATTCCCTGTGTGTGGCTTATTTAAGGATTTATTCATAGAAACTGATTTAGTAAGGTTTGAGCCAAGTAAGAAACATCAATGAATTCTCTGGTTTATTTCCCCTTCGTGTAAGATAGGACAATCTCAAGGGAAACTACTAGATTAGACAAGCACACTGGATTTCAATTAAAATATAGGAGTACATTAATTCTGCTACTCTGCAGCCCCAGGATAGATGAGGTAATGTTTTTTTTGGAACTGGTCTTATTATGGTTAGCAGAAAAGTAAAGCTTCAAGTAACTGAGGCTACAATTTGCTGCAAGCATCTTATGTGTCCTGTAATGAAAAGGCATTTTAGCCTAGTAAACTACAAGCAGAAACAAATGATGCAGCTGATTTATGCCAAGGTATCAGTGCACATAATTTCATGATACAAAGACCAAAACCAATGGTCAAATGATCTCCCTCTATAATCTAGCAACTCTGCATGTGGGAGTATTTTGTAGACGAGCAACTATTTGTCGTTCTGTAACCACAAGTAAAAAATGGAAGTAGATACTGCAAAAATATCATCTGATAACACTTATGAAAAATATCCATTAAATATTTGGCCAATGTATTTCCATGAAATACATTTTCACACAAGCAAGCATGCCAGATGAGCACACTACAAAATAAAGATAAATGTCTATTAGCCACATCCAAAAATCTTTCTAAATCGCCAAGTTTTTGTAGGAGTTCTCAGTGAACTCTAATACACAACAAAAACATGAAGTGGACAGAGTAAATTATGTTCATTCACCATATGTAGTCTGGTTCCCTGTGAAGAAACATTGCCCTTTTCTCCTACTTTTCTGTAATCTGATTAAACAAGAAATATTTACCAGGTGGTCCTGGTAAACCTCGTGGTCCTTGAGATCCAGTCCCTCTTTCGCCTTTCTCTCCAGGCATTCCTACAGAATAAGAAAAAGGCAATAAAAACCAAAGAAAGGAAACCACATCAACAAATATTTCTTCACGGTCTCATTGACATTCATATTTAGTTCCCATTATTTAATGTAACAAGACTGGTCAAACCTTATGTTATAGAGATGTCCAAATCTGCATTTGGGAAAATAATTTGGATATAAATAAAGTAACTTAAAAAATAAAGTAGGATGCAAAGGTAATTCAGTATGAATAAATTTTCTCAAACATAGAAAAGTATTTGAGATACTGAAAACATCACAGAATGTTATTATTTTAAACTGCAAACAGGAAGGTATTTCAAAGCTTGCATAATCCTGCTATAAAGGATGCTTTACACTTTCTTAGGAACACTTATAATGAAATAAGTTTAAGAAAATCAGAAATTCATTCTTCCTTGATTCATTCCTCATCTTTTTTAAAGAGTATACTAAAATATATGCTGGAAAACGCAGCACTGAGTCTATGCTACAGTAAAGGAGTTGGAATAAGCAATGGCCACAACACAGTATAGTACAGACACTCCACGTGATTGCAGTGATCCAAAATAGCCAAAAATAGGTTTACCCATATGCTCAGATTCAGTTCAGAGTTGCTTCCCTCCCTCAAAGTACTGAAAAGAGCCAAGGATGTAGACCTAATTCTTTCAACTCCTATTTTTGATTCTTGTAATGACTCATTTTCTCTCTCAGTCAGTGTTCTGTTTTGCAAAGGGTTGTGTTACTCCAAACAGCCTTTCAAGATGCAGCTGTTTAGTGCCAAAAGAATTCTGGGACATTTCTGTTTCCTGGGATATTCTGTGGAAGCATGAGACAGCAGCCAAAATATTACACCAATCTGTATTTCATGAAACCTGAGCAAAGGAGAGACAGAGGAAATCACTGATGTATTTAACCTTGTCCTTCAGAACATCAGTGTCCCTCAGGCAATCCAACTGACCCAACAAACTGCTGCTCAGTGTGGGTTTCACAGTCTGACTGCTCCTCTGGCAGTCACTGCACTATGTTCACTAGTGGATGCTGTGGAATTTATTCACCTCTTTCACCAGGTGGTCCTTGGACCCCAGGAGGTCCTGGGAATCCTGGTCTTCCTCCAGGTCCAGGCTCTCCTCTTGTCCCAGCAGCTCCTGGGGGACCAGGTGGACCTGGTGGCCCTGGCTGATTACGGTTTGAATAATAATCATTTGGGATTTGATTCAACATTTGATTGAACCGGCTCATTTGACCTTCAAAAGAAAAGAAAAATGTGAAATGAGTGAAAGTCTTTTATCAGAGCAGGAAAGAATAAAAAGTTATCTCTCTTCATTAAATCCTATTCTTGTTCCCATTTAATAAATTAGTGGCGAATTACTGCAGATGAATTAGGAAGACTTAAGATGAATGTCTGATAAGAAGTCTGAACATAAATGGAGAAGGGAGGGAGTAAATGAGGAAGGTAAGGAGTATTCTGGAAGCCAATGACATTAACAAATTTTTATCATAAAGCTATTAAAATCATGAAATAAATTTTTGACAATACTCTTGCTCTCAGAGTTCTATGTGCCCTATGTGCTTAGTGCAATGTGTCAGTCCTATCCTAATCTTGAAGACATGAGCTGAGCATGAGAAAAATAAGGCAGGGATGCTCAAATAAGACATGCTAAAAGATCTTGGATAAGACATCCTTATTCATAAGCCTAACACATTCACGAGTGTACTTTCCTTCCCTTGTGATGGCTAATAGACATGCTTTTAAATAGCAGCCATCATAGAGATTTTAAAGGACATACTGTTCTCCACCCTGTACACAAGCAATCTTAATGATCCAAAAAGGTATATCTGTTTACATCTGTCAGCACATACTCTTGTAATAGATAGAATATTAAGAGCAATTTGTGGTCACATTTCTCTCTGTCCTCCTCAACAGGTCTACTGATAAAAGCACTGCTTCAGGGACAGAAAGGCCCTGCAGGGAACAACTTCATGGGCTGCAGAGCTGCACTGTGTGGCAGTAGAGGACTGAAATTCAATTTGAAGTCCTTCTCCAACTAAATATTATTTTTACTTGAATAACACTGCTGATTCTGTGCACAGTTATTTACACAACACTCATCTGTCTTTCCCTGCTGGCAAAGTACCCACAGTGAACATCACATTGATTCCCTCCTCCTGAAGATAAGGCATATTTCATCAGGAAATGCATACTGATTTCATTGCAAAGATGAAGGAACTTTAGACCAGAATGACAACAGGAAAGTCACCTTCCTCCTACAGAGCACTTGCAAAGCTCACAGATTAATTCATGACCAAGGTAGCCTCTGGTCTGCCAAAAATTTGGTGCAACATTTTTTCCACCAAGTCACTGGCATTGAACAACTATCAGATCAGCCAAGCTCTCGCTGTGCTTTGTGACCAGTATCTGACACCTAAAATTTAAACCATTGTTTTCTCTTTTTAACAAACAAAATAGTAAATTACTAGTACAGGAAACAAAACAAACAACTCTGTTTACCATTTATCAGTTGTTCACAAACTTGTCTTGCAACTGCTCGCATCATGTTCTGAGAAGCAATGTCACCCTAAACAATCAAATGTAAAACAAGTGTTATATTAGCAAGTGCCTGTGCTCTTAAAGACATTATGTTTAATTTAAAAATGTGAGAAAAACTGACTTCAAAGCAGACTTACTCTGTCACCTTTTTCTCCCTTCATTCCAGGTGCACCCTAAAATAAATAAGTAAAAATAAAGCAGCTGAAGGATTATATTATTCCTCACCAACTATAGGTTTGAGACATGCAATTCTAGAAAACATTTTTACTCCTTCAAGAAGACAGACCCGGTCACCCTTGAACTTCATATCTCATAGATGCTAAGGGTTGGGTGATACCAATATGTGCCAGAAAAGACTGGAAAAACAATGATATTTTCTTTGTGATCAAACACACTGGCAGATGCAGGAGAAAAAGATCTGAAGGAAAAATTTAAACCAGGCCCCCAAAAAAGGACAAGTTCTGACACTGAAACCACACTGTCAATTTGAAAGTTGAATTTCTGGCATCACATTTCTGTAAATGGTCAGTGGTCTTGTTATGAGTTATATATATTACTGTTTCATTTTAAGTCTTAAGCCAACTCATCATTAAAGAAGGGAAGCTAGGAAGAATAACACATCTAGGAAAGGTAACTGTCTCCTTGAACCCACATGAAAAAGATTCTCTGTTAAGTGAAAAAGAGTTATGCAGAGATGACACGTAAGATGGAGAGAGATGCCATTAAGTGCTTATTCTATTTATAATGACAGCTTCCCTCCTAATTCTCCACCATTTTTAGTCTTACAACAGTCTTAGCTTGAGCTGCTTTATAATTATTAACATTTGCCAACTTTTGTCTAACAGCACTTTCCATTTGCTTTTGAATAGACTAGTGGTTGTGGGTTTTTTCATTTTCAGGAATACTACATAAGGAGCCAACCAGAAGGACTGATTCTAATTTTTATATATGTATATGAAAATCATAAGATATACTGATGGGGCTATTATGACTTCACATAGATTTTCACTTGTAGCCCAAATTACTATTTGAACATAAGGCATATTTCAAAGGTGAAAGACCAGTTTAGTCATCTGCTGCTCTGCATGACTCTCCACATCCTAAGTATTACTGCTTCTTTACATTGCAGTATTTCTTTAAGGAGCCTGTTTGTCACCATTAACAAAGCAAAGGCTAAGTGTGGGCTGCAGCTGTTTCTCATAACATTCCTACAGTACCCGCAATTAATTTCAGCAACACGAGACTACACAAATCATTCCACTGAGGTCACAGCAGACACCATTCGAATGCAGTGGCACTGTTTCATAGACTTCCATCAAGGTTTTGGGCAAACAAACTCCCATGGGGTATGGTCAGGGTGTGAACTTAACATGCTCTCTGAGCTTCTTTGCAGCAGAATTGCATACACCTATCCCTTGACATGCCCCAGAAAATATGAGACTGTTCATCCATCACTGAGTTCAATAGTCATCACATGGTACATTTTGCACCATGAATAACAGATCATTCATGCTAAATTAATTGTACAGACTCAAATGAAAGATTTAGAATGGTGACACCATAACTGTGCCACTGGAATAAATTATGCCACCAAGGAGACAGTTACTAATATAGACAAAATATACCCATCAAACTGATGAATATTCTTTCCCTTCTGTCCTTTGCTCTTTCATCTATATTTTCTTTTAGTCAGTGAAGTCCAGAGGGAAGCATCTGTCTTTTAGTTTTAACTTAGCACAGCCACTAGCTGAAACAGATTGTGGACTTGTAAATGCCATAACAACATAAATAAATGGTAACAACTAAAACAATCAGGAAAATATGACATTTCTGCATGTCTTTCTCTAATAATTAATGCTGTGGTAACTGCCAATGCACTGAAGCTCTAAAAGAGATGTAATTTGACTCTCAAATCAAAAGACATTAACATCTCAGTCATAGACTACGAGATGTATCTGAAATATCCACTGAACAGAACTACAGGTTTTTCACTTGCAGTAGTGTATAACATGACAATGCATTAGTCTATAACATAAAAGTCTGGGAGGGGGGAAATGTTAACAAATTATTTCATGCTTCTCTTTCTGTTTGAAACTTGCCAATTTGAAATATGCTGCTTTTCTGAAAGCATATTCCTTTGAAATTGTCTGCTGAGTACATATTTATAATACCTGCTCATTGTACTGTCACTCTTTCTACAGCTTTCATAGTACAACCTCTTGTTGTTTTGGCCAGAAGCAAATCATGCAGTACATCTTTTGTTTATCCTCTAGGAAAGTGCAATCATTAGAAATCAGATTTCTGGTCTACTATCCCAACAATATTCTAATAATTATTTAAATTGTTGTCCCAATTAATTCACTTGCTAGAGCATTCACATACCAGAACTATACAGAGAAGAGAAAAAAATGATGCAAACTTGAAATGTTTAAATCCTATATAATTTTTCTGGAAATAGTTTTGTTGACTGGTCAAGAAAAGTTCTTTAGTCTGTCTCCAACCACAAGCCATGTTGGTAAGACAGGAAGGTGTTCTGGTAACAAAAGCACAACATTGCTCCAAAGTATTGTCAGCAAAGGTCCCCCAGCTAGGGAAATGCTAATGCCATTCCTTAATTACAAGTGATACACACTCAATTTTACAATTCATTGCAATAAAATGAGCCTCATTCTTCAATGTGTGACCTTGCAAACATACACTTACGAGCCTTATGAGGAAGTCTATAGGCTAGACCAAACTAATTTTAAAATTTGAAGATTAGAGGCTAACTGGGTATATTAACAATAAAGTGCATTTTCCACCTGGATATTTTAGAAAAGTTCTTCCAAAAAGTAATTATGACTGCAATTACTGACTTGCTGTTTGCATCTTCTTCCAACTTGGTTATATGCCTCTTAAATTTCAGTTTATTTTCTTTTAATAGACAAAAAAGTACAGTTTAGCCAACTGCTTGCCAGCATTTTGAGAAGCAGCAGCTGTTGCTGACATTCTGTTTTGTTGATATCCTGCAATGAGGGAGTCACTTGGGGTCAGTGCAAGGAAAAGCTAGTTTATGCTGCATGTGGGATTTTTTCTGAGCTGTGGGATGAAGGCTGGGGCTGCAGCATAGTTCTATGGCTGAAGGAGGACAAAACAAAGGAAGTTTTGCTATTTTTACTTTAAAAGATAATGTGCTCAATTGTTTTTTCCCCAAAAGAATGTTTGCTCCCCTCAAGAACCAGCAGTTCATTGCTCCAAAAGCAGTGTCCTTTTGAGACTTCACCTAGGACGTCTGCATGGATGGATGCAAAATCAGTTAACACATGGCAGCAAAGAATGCAAAATGCTCAAAACCTTCATTTAACTCACAACAAACTTGGCACTACCCTCGAAAGGTTTTCACTGGTTATTTGGTCATGGAGGCATCAATTTAACAGCACCTTATATATAAAACATAAACCCTTGCAATATTTCCTGGGAACCTTCTAGATCAACAAAGTCAGACCCTGTTGTCAGAGTCAGTTTTATAAACAAGACAGCTCTATCTCAACACAACTTATTCTGCCTACTCATTCATTCCCTTTTTCACCCTCACACCTATAAAACAAGTACTGGAACTTTTCCATGAAAAATCAGTTAACACTTCAACACTTGCTCTAGTATAAGTACACAGACAGGTAGAGAAGTGCTTACTGCGTGGTCTGCCTTAGCTTAGCACATTAGTGGTACTGAACACATCAGGAAGGAGCTCCAGTTGACTGCATTCAGTGGGAATATCTTCATAAAACCAACCAAGGCTGCTCAGAATTTGCAGGTAACTATGTATCTTTTATCTGGAATGTAATGTTCCTTGGTTTGTAGGGATCTTTCTCCTGACTTGCATTGCATAGTACCAGCAATGCAGACTGTTCAGAGAGCAAAAGAAAGCAAGGCAGGATCTGGTCAAAAATTACTTACTCCTTGTATTTACCAGAGGCAATGTGAAGCCTCATTAAGTTTCTCTTCAGGCAGAACTATGATTCATGACACTGCAAGTTGCATTTGGCCGTCAGGCTGCACCTTTGGCAATTCTACTACTGCACACAAAGGAAAGCCTTGAAATTCTGTCCACCAGGAATCTGATAAAACATCTGTGCAAGGTGCAAGCCAGAATTC